TCGACGACTTCCCGACGCTTATATCTAAATATCAGTAAGCGTGGGGTGTGCGATAGACTTACCTCCTCGTGGTGCACCCTGGGCAACGTTTTTTTAAATCGGCAAAAAAGTCTATTGACTGGCAGTTGACTTCTCACTTCAAACTACCATCACCTCACTTTATGCCATATTCGACTATTTCACAGTACTCACCTTACCTTTGTTCTACCTTTGTGTTTGTCTCTTACATCTTTGAAACACTCTTCTGTTCTCCCCCTATCGATTTTTTTCAATTTGATGTTCCTTCCTCTCTGTGAAGCCTGAAGTCAACTAAAGGGCTAATGATAACCATCAAGACGCCTGCAATTTGATATAAGTAAATAAATATCAGTAAGCGTACTGTTTAGTTTACAGTTTTACCTAAGGAGCATAGAAATGAAGTTCTCTGTGAGTCTCGGTAAATAAGATGCTTAGTCGAAATTTAGGGTCCGGCTTTTGGAGAGACAAAGGTGAATCTAATTATGGGCTATTTAGCAGATCTAAAAGCTAACATGGATTAATAGTAAGGTATTCATTTAAGCGGCTTATTAATCTATCATAAAAATTGATCTATCATATATATCATATCATTTATAATGGGTTCAACTTTAACTCATTCTTTGCTCCTTCTTTTGTTATCGATTTATTTCAATTTTTAGTCATCTCTTTTAGAGAAATTGATTATCGATTTATTCCAGCTCTCTCCAATATGTTGGCATATGATACTTTCTTTTGCGTAAATTGTATTCACAGAAGTTGAATTATTGTAGGGAAACGTATGAACAGTGGATAGTATACAACAGTGAAATACCGAGCTGACGAAAGGTGATGAGTAAAGTAACAATTGAAACCAGGGCGACAAAAACAATTACACTACACGGGTTCACTGGGGTGGCTATTCTTCTCTTGGGTATAAGCCCAGCACTCTGTGTTAAGGTCTCAGAGCTTAATCGCCCGCATATTAATTTAAATGTCTGTAAAATACCTTAAATACGGGTTTTCCTTTAATAGCCAAGATACCAGCAGTTCATATGCCCTAAAACAGTTAACAACCGTTTACGCAGAGTGATCTACAATAGTTCTTTGTGGTTCCTAATTACAGTTTCCAGTTCTCTATCATACTTTAGTAACTTCTCGCCTGAACCTTCTGTGCATTTTAAACTGAGATTATGTTCTTAAACTCACCTCCTCTGCTAATCGTCGAATTTCGTCGGCTTGTTGTAATCTTTCTCGCTCCTGCTTGGCTGAAAGTGCCCGAAATTCTTCCACTTGTCCACGAAGTAATTGGATTTCAGTTTCAAGTCCTCTTGGTGATCTTGCTGGACAAATTGAGGGGTCTGGAGAAAAAAAAAGAATCAAGAATCAATCTACTAAATTACCATCCGTAGCATCTAAATGCCCAAAAAATCGATCTTTGTCTTTTAGCATTCATAACCCACTTCAAAGGAAGTATTTGGAAGTATCATTTAAAAAAGGAAGCAATGCCTTCGACAAACATAAAAATTGGGGTCAATTAGGACTTTAAATGTTTCAATTCTTTCAAAACGTCACAATAGAAGAGTCATTTATTTATAGGAATATCAGTCTCCGAGATGGCGATAAAGGTAATGATATTCTATTTAAATTGACTTTGAGGTGGTAATATGGTGAAGACGGTTAGACTTAACATCATTTCGGAAGCAAAATGGATATGAACACTTACTCCTAGGAGAAGAGTAAGAAACCAGTGAAAATTTCAAATCACGTGAATCAAATCTCCCTTCCCTCTTAAAAACCCCACACTTTAAATCCTTGAATATGACTAATAAAGTAAAGACTAGATTTTATATGCGCGGACGATTTGCCGAAAAATTACTAGCAGTGAAAAACTGTTGTTGTGTTGTTTTGCTCTTCTAAGAGCCTTCAATGTAGAACAGGAGAAAATGGTTCAGTCATTGTGTTCATACCCCCAGAAAAGCTGAGATAACAAAGAGGTATTGGTTTAAGAAAGTAAGTTCTGCAATAAAGCTTCAAGTTCAACTGTCAAATGTGGTTAAAAAATCGATACATATGACTAAAGCTAGGTGATGAGTCATTGGGTAGAGATTGATGCAATGGCGGAAACAATGGATATGCTCTAATCAATATACAATTGGCTCAAAAATAGTTCACATGAAGGAGACAAACAGTTACCAAGGTAAGCGTGTAGGCCAGGACCTTGAATACAGTCTGGCTAAGTCATTACAGAAAAATCCTTCAACAAAGAAGGAAGTAACGTCTTTCAAAGGTTTATAAAATATACCTAACAAGTGAAGTCATGAAGTCTAAAATTTTCTTCGGCATAAACAATCAAGGATTAACTCATTACTTACCAACATTGAAAGTCTCATCTGATGCAGGACTAGGCGACTCTGTAGTTTCGTCAATTAATCTAAAATGTCAAAAGTAGCCCAACAATGAAATTTCTATGTTTTATTGGGAAAAAGAGCGCAACTTTTGACAATCCAGCCCAGAGAATTTTGAAAAGCAAGATGAAAAATTCAAGTGTAAGCCAAGTATGCAGTAGAAAAAGAACAAAGACTTCAAAACTCAATATTCCCATTGAACCAATTTAGCACAAGCAGATTTGCATAGTACTCTCGGATCGATAAAACAGATTTTAGAGTAAGCACCCACTTTAATGTACCCTTGATCACCGCTAATGATGAAAATTCACCTGCGACGTCATTTTTTGCATATTGTGCACCCTAAATAATGTGTGGGACACGCTATCGCTTTGTACGTTATCATATGCCTGCATGTCTGCTCGCCAGGATTGGGAGGTGCGACCATACAACTCTGTGTGCAGCGACCGTACAAACAGTGACCATTCAGTAGCCTCCGTTTTTTAAACCTAATCCGCCATCCTGATCATGATTAAGCTCCTGCGTGTACACTCTGCTCACAAGATACTGAGTAAGCGTGTTCCGTGCTGCACGTCTGTTTCCTTCATAGCCGGGCTATAGCTTAGCTTGTTCTGGGAGTCTAGCTAGATGTTGGAGAGTCTGCCACAGAGATTTCTGGGAGTCTAGCTAGATGTTGGAGAGTCTGCCACAGAGATTTCTGGGTCAGTCAGGCTTTACTAGCGTAGCAGTCCGCTACAAATGTGAAACTCAAACATCTAGCGTCTATCCACCTTCTAGTGTTGAAGCATAAATTAAATTAATCTGAAATTTGGCAATAAGTATCTCCTTACCCAATCTAAATCATATCAACAGAACAGTAACTTTGCCGAAAATTAAATATTTACAATAATTAGCCACTCCCAATATATATATATATATATATATATATATATATATATATATATATA